ACTCCTTCCCCCCCTCCACGCCCACTCGGGGCATGAGGGCCAGGCCGGGGTCCGCCCTGGGCAGCCCCACCGTGAAGCTGGCCCGGAAGCGGCCAGACACCGGGAGATGGCTCAGCCTCTGCAACCTCGGGGGGGTGAGGGGACAGGCTCTCCCTGATGTCACCTCCCACCTAGGAAGGCGCTGGTGCCCCTGGCTGTGTAGGGCTGGGGCGGTCCCGACGCCAGGAGAACATGCTACATGCCAGTCGGGTCCTGGGGGGCAGGAAGGGGTGGGCGCCCCGCGGGGAGCTCAGCGGGGAGCATCTAGGTAGAGCGCTGCTGGCCCTGACGGCCCAGGACCCCACGGTGGCCCCGGGCCAGGGTTCCCTGTGGGGAGATGAGCAGAAGTGCAGGGACATGGGCCGGGCTCAACCCCCTGGGCGGAGTGGCCGCCGTGAAGTGGCGGCTGATTTGTCTGTGTTCTTGTTTCCTATTTATTAGTAAAAATATAACTGTTTTCTATTTCACTCTTTTTCAACTCTGTAAAACCTTTGCCCAGATGGAAGTTGAACCCTTCGCAGTATAATCAGTGTGTTTTTTTTTTTTTAAGGCTAAACTTGAAAAATCTATTTATTGATTTCAAACAGGTCATTTTCCACTTTTCTCTTTCCAACAGTGTTAACTCATATGTTCCTGGTACATTTCAACTATGGTTCTTACAATTGGTAGCTTTTTTTTAATTAAATATATTTTATTGATTTTTTACAGAGAGGAAGGGAGAGAGATAGAGAGATAACCTCGCCCTCTCCCGCCCCTGTCACCGCCCGTGCCCCTGGGGACAGAAGGGGAAGGTGGGCGTACGGAGCGGAGCCGGGGTCCTCCTCCCCTAGCCCCCCCCCCTCGCACACACACAGCCCACGGATCCCTGACGGCTCTGTTTTTAGAGCAACACCCGCCGCGCTGGCACCACAGTTACCAAGGCAAAGAGGAGCCGCCAGGAGCGCACGGTGAGCTGGAGGCAGGAGCTGCGGGCGCGGCTTCTCCAGGGAGATGAGGTGCCAGCAGCAGCGAAGGCCACCCACACAGCGTGCAGCTGGTGAGTGCGGTGCCCACGGGGAGTGATGGTCGGACTCAGGGGAGGCACGGCTCTGACCGGCCCACCAACCTGCAGGCACACGCTTCTCACCCCACAGAGCTCTTCCCCCTGACCCCGGCCTGGGCCACGGCCGAGCAGCCAGAACAGCCACAGGCACC